TCTTTCGCGGTGCATGTACGTTGTAGTAACCGCGTATTTAGCATAAGCCGGTAGTCACCACAAATTCTCGGAGTAATGCCATCAGCCTTCAGTGGGGTAACTATCGAAGTAATGGAATAATCCGTCTCTTAAGAAATATAGGCTCTCCTGTAACTTCGAGCCTCACCTTGGGAATTGGCATGCCACCTGTAGCCTTAGAACATTTAAGAATCAAATGTTTGAGTTAATTCTCGTTCACAGAAGTCAGTAGAGTGATACTATTTCGCAGTGAGCGCAGAACTTTGAGTCCGATAATCGATGGTCCCGACGTTGAAACTAAAAAATTATAATCGATAGAGGTACCTTGGGGTAACCTCACAGGGATCGTGCAACTACCAACTAAAGGTACAGAATTCCCAGTAATACCGCGAATATTAACATCTGTAGGCACTATCACGGCACTGGGGTTGAATGCAGTTAGATCTGATGGTGGAATAATGGATTCAACACTACCAGTGCCAACAATGAAGTCATGCTTTTGACCAGAAGCGGATATCCAAGTTGTAGAAACGTGACGAATTTTGGCACAAAACAGATAGAGAAAGAGTAGAGATGTTTTCCGATAATGCTTTCACGTCAGCATTTGTGTCAGAAGTTAAGTGACACACTTTCTTGGACTTACAGACAAGTTGAATGTGTCCTGTTTTACCTCAGATAAAACACTTCGCTAGTCTGTGGGGGCATAAATATCTGGAATGGTTTCGTCCACAAGATTCACATTTTCCAACTGTTTGAACCATCGGATTAGAGTTACTATCTGTGAAGTGAGGTGTTGATGGATTTGGGGCACGAGAATCTGTTCGAGGTTTGAGTTTGCCATCCTTCTACATCCTTGTATTATTATTTCTTTTAGAATATTTTAACAAGACTGCTTCCTCAGTCTTCGTTACATGCTTCACATCTTCGTACTGCTCACATAGTTTCCGAACAGTTTGAACTTTCTGATCCGGACAGAGCAGCAACTTCTGCTGCAATTCGGGCAGTTGAATGCCAGCAATGAGCCTATCACGCAGCTGGTCTTCTAATTGGGCACAGTAGTCACATTTGGCTGTCTGTGTTTGCAGCTGCAATACGAAATCACTAACCGACTGAGAATTGGAGCGGGTCAACATATTGAACTTAGCTCTTTTGGCTGCTACGAAGTTACTCGGCTTGAGGCGTTGAAGAACTTTCTTCTTCAAAGCATTGTAGGGAATATCGATTGGAGATTCAGGTTATACTAAATTCTTGATCAACGTATACACCTCCTTGCCAACGAAATGTAGGAAATATGCTGTGAGTTTCTTATCATCCATATCGGATTTTGTGAGGCACCATATGTCGAACCGTTCCAAATAATCCTCTACGTCACGCGCAGTTGAATTAACATCTAATGGTTCCATTTCGGCAGGCATGATGAATCGTTTCAATCGCGACGCCAAAATGTGAGAACTAAGTTTCGTACATATATCGGTATAACCAGACGAACTAGAAATCCAGAATTCAGATCAGCGCAACATGTAGAACGTATGTATTCGAACTGGCGTATATGTACAGCATATGGAATATTAAAACAAGAGAATAATGATTAGAGCAATGAATAGAGTATCAGTCATGTTCATCACAGGTTGAAAGGTTGTCAATCAGCTGATCTTTGGTTTATTCGGACCATTTTTCTTTTACTGAATACTCATAAACTTTTGTTGTTTTGCCGTTGAAAAATGTAAATACTTGCAAACAAAAACTGAGAACTATATAGGACGATGCATCCTGCTACTTGAATATGACTTAGACGGACTACTTTCATGCGGATACAATGCATAAAAGTCCGGACGGCCTTTCAGTGCTCATGTAAGCTAAAGTCCTACTGTCCCTGGCCAGTAATTTACGATATAGTTGTTCTGAGGCGTGATATGGGTAGAAGGCTCTGCAGAACAGGTAGAGCAAGTAGCGCATAAATTTAATTACAAGGAACTTGTAGATATGGTAACGAAGTATCATCGAAGGTTCACTATAGACCCACGCAGGATGCAAGTCTAACGTGGTGCGGTTCTAGAGGCTTGTTGCGCGCATTAGGTGGTGGGATACGTAGACTTCAGAAGCTAATCTGCCTGCATCGCACGCCATATAATATATGAGTGCTAAGTAAATTAGGTTGAGCACAATTCAAAAGGCTCAGATGGCTAGCTATCCAAGTCAGCTGGAGGTTTAAGTCGATAGTCCTAACTTAGTGCGCACTTTTCAATCCTACTTATGTTGAAATCGTAAACTCTAGAATTTAGGAGCAAACACTTTACCTCTTTCAGGACCGCTGACTGCGTTGATACCAATGAATGGATACTCCAAGGTAAATCATTACGATCAGGTTAGGTTTTGAAGCGGCTCGTAGGCTTGCCGCTTCAAGCCCTCAAAGTTAAATGGACTCATGCCACTTCGCAATACAGTCCAGATCTAATTTGTGTGGTGTCATAGACAGTTGCGTGAAAAAATGATATTTCTCTGATGGTAGATCTGATGTGAGTTTGTAGGCTGCTGTGTCGAGCTGTCTTTGCGGAGGCTGTTCGCTGTAACAACTCCGAGTAATAGGTGCGTGAATTACATTGAAATATTAGATAAGATAACGGTGTGAGTTTCTAGCGCTCTCTTGAATTAAGAATATAAAAAGTGAAAAAATTCTGAAACTTAGTTATCAGAGTTCATAGGATGTAGACTGGATGCGTTTTATCTGAACTGGCACTCAGATGTCCAGCCTTCTAAAGTTAGTCTAAGCTGACAAAATTTGTTAACGTGTAGAATACTGTGCTGGAATTTCAGTCTTTGTATGGAGTACAAATGAAAGCAGCCGAGAATCATAACTGAATCGTGCTTCCTCGGGTGAACACCGATTCCATCAATGCAAAACACAGGCTATCCTTGGCGGGACGTTTATTTTTAATACTATACCCTATGCATAAAAACGCTCACTATCTAAGCAACCGCTCGGAACTTCCGTCACGTGGCAGTTGAATTTATTCTGTTCCTTCGGACGAACAAGTAGAGGACCATGAACAAAGAATGAAGTCTGATTCAACTCATATTCTATTCACCGAAACACACGATGAGATTCAGGAGCTGTGTAATTTTTCGTCAAAGGCTTAATCAAACAAGAGAAAAAAATTGCATAATCTCTGTTATCCACCTTAAATCAAGTTAGCGCTTAGCCAATAATATGGTCAAATTACTGTTTTTTTCCTCCACAACTCTCGCTTCTGAGTAGATAAAGTATTGCTTACTTAATTCAATAGTTGTTTTGTGTTTTAGGTTTAACATTTTGAAATAGTTACCAAAAGTCAAAACGAATGTCAGAGGGGTCTGCCCGCCAAAGCGTCTTATGTTGCCTGCAACTACCTATGTATTTATATCTATGTGAACGTGATCCGCTTCCATTATTTATTACTATTATTTTGAAGCAGAGACAAAATCTAAATAAAAATTTCAAAATGTTTTGGTTTATTGGTGACTACTGTAGCCTTATGCATGCCATCAGCTGCCCTTTTGCGGGCGATTGTAGATCAGGCCGACATACGAATGAAAAGATGTGAGCATCACTCTACCGGTTTACTCCTACAGCTATGGAAAGATAATGAGCCAGACTATGGTGTAGTTTAAACTTCACTTGCCAAAATCCACATAACCCAGTGCTGCTGTATCTGAAAAGTGGTAGACTGGACCTTAATAATGTAGTAATGTACGGATCGACGTACTCAAAAAGCACATGTGCTTGCATAACAAGGTCTTCTCACTCCAACATAGTAAGGTTGGGTGTCACATCAACCCCAACTGGATACACCATATTGTCAAGATTGGTTATCCTACACGCTGCATTGTTCATCCGAGCAGATAATGACAAATACAGGAGTAATACCGAAGAAAGCTCAGAGTCTTTTGACTTGGCTACCGAATTACGAAAGACAACATCGATTTACAAAAGCTTTGTAAGGCCTAAAACACCGAAACAAACGGTACGTCGACGGACAGTATGGTCTTTAGGGATTTATGATCTGTCCGTGGTCGGACGAGGTACATTAGCATATTTCAAAAGAAGTGCAGGCCATGGTTCCTGAATGTTCGTAGAATTACTAGTGCGGTTTCGCCTTTGACGGTGCTTGAGGACTTTTTTCTTTTGTCATACGACATGTGACGTCGAACAAAGGAATGTGGTCTGGTAAAATAAAGGTCAGCTGTGGGAAGGCCGTTTTCGAAGCATCAAAGAACCTATCATATACTGTTTGACTACTGTAATTTGAAACTACGGGATCGGGTAGCAGAGAGTTTTACCGACCAAGTTAGGTTAAGTGCAAGGTAAGGCAAGTTTCCTTACGAATAACCGATCAAATTCACGCATATATTTGTGCTCGAACGGCCCATATGTACTGTGGCGAGCAACGTCAATACGCATATAGATGAACGCATGGTAGGGATGTTTTGCTGCAGTAATTGTCCGAAGGCCTAACGCGGAAGTTGATAATTTCACTTACTAGTCAATAAGACCCGGCCATCCCCATGTAAATATTGCCGTCAGGTTATCGTGACGTTCTTGAGTAAGTTTTTTATACAGCAGACCGGAGACAATTGTTGCAATGCATGCCAGCTGTAGCCAGCGTATTTTAAACGTAAAACGTCCGTGTTCTGATCAAGTGGCACCACCTAACTTGCAGTCTGTAAAAGGCGACATCGAGTCAGCACAAGTGGAACGGACTACATATGACACGAAACATTTTGGAATTCAGGACCTCTTGATTGACTTTCCTGGTGAAGCTTGTCGTACTTGTAGCTTGTGTTATTAGGTATCTCGGTTCACGATGCCACAAGGACACACAATGTGCACGTTCACTGACTACCTAATGTCCTGTATTGGTGCATTGTGTCCCGCATACCGGCCCTGAATTCACGAGCGGTAGAATGTTTATATGATTTAAAGATTTTTAATCCATCGATGTTCTGCCACTTGTTCAGTCGTCCCAACTGTCACCAAACATTTGCAGGTTGAACCGGTCATAGCGAACATGCTGTCCTGGACAGCGGTATTTTTGGCAGGTTTACTTGGAACGGTGCTGAGCAATGACAGGCCACCGGATCCCAGAAACTTTCAAACTTTTGATACAGCCCAGAAACGCGCGGGAGAAAACATGTGCCCCTATATTGTCAAAGGATCGAAAAAGTTGCCTGTGATTTGTTGGATGTGTCACTTCCCGCATGGACTGAGACCAGAGTATGTTTGCATTTGACAATTTTTTATATTCCAACTTGCTGCTTTATTTGTTGAGTTTCTGTGCTCTCCTCAAGATTTAGTAAGAGAGGTCAAGAAGAATTGTTGTTGGTCGACCGTATGTTAGAGCAAGAAAATGGACCACACTATGAAGACTAAAGACAAAATGTCATTGAATTATATAGTGGATGTGAGAGTAACACTTATGACCTGCCAATCGTACAAGGCAACCACAATCATTAGGCTAAGAACTACTAAAATGTATTTTACCAGAAAAAAAGCAGATCTGAATGGAAAGTTTGCCAGCTTAACTGCATCGGTTGATCCAGTCAGCTCAATTTGTCTCCGTCCAGTTGCTGCGGTGAGGGAAACTATCCCCATAGTTGCTGAGTCACTTTACTCTTTCCTGCCATTATTTTTGTGACACTTGCTGTTCTGTTGATAGCCTCATCAAATCCACTGTTAGTTAAATGCGCTTCATCGAATCTATCAGATGAGGAGTCTTCGAGAAACTGAATACTTTGCTCTTTAGACTGTTACTGACGAAATCACGTTTTAGGATCACACTCGTCAAACAGCGACGCTGTCGTCGTATGTTATTTACAAAGAAACGGTTTTATTAGTGTAACCTGACGCTGACCGTATCAAACTTTGATGATATTTTGTAATCATACAGTAATAATAGGTACGCAAGCGTAAGATGAGATGTTTGTTTTTTGTTTGTGTAATGAGGATTTAGTTAGTTAACCTTTTTCAGATAGGGCTGTCAAAGTTATTGCGTTTCCTTTGTCATTCCAGAAAGTTACTGTTTGACATTATACCACCCGTAGTTGATGGAGTTATAAACAAGGAGCCGCTAATCCACCTCTAGACTCTCAAATTTTCAATTACACGATTGCGTGGATAGGAATCAAACTCGCTATATCACAGTGGATGGATAATTACCACATACTAACAGGCTTGCTGCTGTAAACTCTGGTCACATTGTTCTGATTGCTGGCTACCGCTTATTTGTAACTAAAAAGTAAGCGAGGTGAGGTTTCACCCACTGAGCATAGCAAGACAGTTTCAGACCTGATTTCTCGCAAACAACACCAACAATCAGTAGAATCCTGGTTCCTCTTTTCATTTGCTTTGTATAGCACCCGTTATGTGTACGATTGTTGCCCTGGTTATTCAAAGAGTGATATTATTCCAAATCAATGCGTTCAACGGGATCCTACATGGAAAGATTTGCTCACATTCCTAGAGGACAACGGAAACTCGAATACGGCTCGGGCTCTCAAAGAAAACACGGCCATCCAAGACTTGCAAGCAAAACCATCACAAAAAGTTTACACTGTATTCGTTCCACAAAACGACGAGGACATAAAAAATGCAGAACTGGACTATACCGGGTAGGTTGGGTGCGTACGGATGACTTGCTTATTACGTCTTTCGATTTTTCTACCGAAATAGTATAAAATGTCTTCATTAAAAAACGTGTGGATTCCATCATCGTTAATAAACTAAAACTCCAGGCCCCCTGAAGACCTCCGAATAGCGTATTTTGCAAATACTAGCTACTCAAATAAGATATGATCAAATCAGTTTGTTAGGAACAGTGTCAGCTCTTATGAACATCGTAGCCAGTAGCAATTGCCCGTAAAACATAACATAATGTCATTCTCTCTCTATATTGACTACGCAACAGCCACATTTTCGCAGGTCGAGTCTCTCTAGAGGTTCTTTAGATGTGCACTGAGGTTTATTAACTAAGATGAAGCAGTTACAGAGCATCTCCCGGCTTTTCAGCACAAGCAGACCGAGCCTGTGGAAGGATGTTTCGATAGTCGATTTTGCAGTTTTTGCTTGAATACAACAAAGTTGTTTGTGGCACGTTCATTTTTTAAGGAGCCCTGTGGGAAAAGGCAGAAAAGATATACGTACTTGTGTGAATCAATTCTCGTTACTCAATCAAAAATGGCTGCGCAAGCCCCACTGTAATAGCCGTCCTGATTTGAGGAGGCTGAAAAGATCCACAAAAAGAAAAAAAATTATACAAAGTAGTTCACTTCACACAAAAATACTTTCTGATTTATTTTTAAGAGAGTAATATCATCTTATTATAGTTGAGATGAAGATTATTGCGTATCGTTTGAACCAGTTGAAAGAACAGTCAGGGCGAAGTAAAGTGATGCAGATAACGCACACTATTGTTGCAAAGGGTGCAAACAAGTGCGTTCAGAGTTATCAGCTGATAAACAGACTCTTGTTGAGACGCACACATGTAAGCTCTTGCTTAAGATTCATGGTAGTCCATCTTATTCATTTCCAAGCGAAATCTCAACAGAATTTCAGTGTCAGGGCACGCCCAGACAGAAGAAAAAGTACATGTGCAGAGGGTGACGCATCCCCAAGGTCACCATCGGTTCGACACGTCCGGAAAGTAGGTGAGTTGGCGGCTCTCACCAAACGGCTTAGAAACACGACCAGCGTAGTGGGCCTGAGAGTGTTCATGACCGAAACGCCACCATTGGCTGTACGGAACGTACTAGTGAACGACCGTATTTGGCCAATTAGTCATCTTATATATTTACGCAGACGCTCTGTATGTTTTGTCCTGGCAATACAGCCGTGTCCCCAGTTCTCTGTCTTCTCCCTATCGCGTAGTCTGGCAGACGCAGCGTAGGCGTAATCAATAGCTCGGCCACCGCACAATACAACACATAGGTAATATTCCTTACCGCATACACATTTTCCCATTTGGCCTTTACTATTTGTGTGGTTCAAAAGGTTCGGGTTGGCCACGAAATCCGTAACCAAGATAAAGTGCTCCCATTTCATTGAAATGACCTATTATACTTCACGCTTATTATAGTTTGATATACTCCATCATGCCGCGTTCACAGCACTTAAGTTGACTGTTTTCCTGATGTAATAGTCACTTCAGCTCAACCGCTATTCTGTCTGATTGCAAACATCTGATCAACACTGCGCATTCTTCGTGTTTCCACCACATTATTCAAGCGGAATGGATTTGAACACCAGTGCATAACCAAACTGGTAGCAGAAGATTTTAGGTGTGTATTACTTCTTTCGTCGTGTACTTAAAAAACCGGTTGAATTTTCCAGCTCAGAGGTCTATTGAAACGATAAATTACTGAACCGGACAATTGACATCAAAGCATCTGTTATGAACTGGAAAATTTCCTTTAGGAATTTAAACAAATTGAGAATCGTGTGATGAGTTATTATCTGCAAGCCAGTAAAACTGACAAGTTGGATTCTTGTAACATTTAGAGATCCTCCAACAGGACGACGATTTTTATTACCTAGTTCTTTTGGCCGTCGGTAATTCAAGGTCACAGCACGGGGACACCGACCAAAAGATTCGTAGTTTGAACGCAAACGTTGCCCTCCTGCTTATGTTGTGTAGGCTTTGGTAGCCTAGCAGTACTTCGGATCGCGCTTATTTCGGTTGCATGATAGCTACGTACTGAAAGAGTGACATAGCTTAATGGTCCTTTAGGGTCCTTCTGAATACAGCTGACTGCCACCAAAATTCAACACTGAAGTACTTCAAGTCACCGACATGATGGGATCAGGGGATTACCTCCTCAAAGGACTGTTTCTTTCATCAGCACTTAACAAGTGTTCGTTTGAAGTCCATGGGGTATTTTCCGAACTAACTTATACGCCACCCTTCTATTTACGTACTTTTCCTAAGATAAAAATGAAGTTAAACATCTTATGCACAAGGTTCAGTGGCATCACGAATGAGTCTCTTTCTATCTATGCAATCTATTTCCTATTGTTGCTATGCGGAGCCACTGATCACATTTATCTGCTCAAATTAACTCACTAAGGCTTTGGCTTGTCGACGAAAATAACGGCACTAGTAGTATTCTTGAGCTCAACCTAGGAGGCAAAAACTTTTAGTCTTTATTTCTTTTCCTATTTGTAATTTGTTTTACACGTTGACCCACATTAGTGGCTGTTAGACGAAAGGAAGCGGAATCAAACAAAACGTTGCAACAGGAGTTGGTTTTCCTTCTTCCTATCAACGTTATCCTCGTCATATATCAAGTTAATCTGCGTATCCACATCATTCACTGTCCTAGTCCTTGTTGTTGTCCTGTCAGTGAGCCAGATCGAGTTGCTGAGCCAAAGCAAGTGGAGTAATCATCATTTGTACTACAGAAACAACTGCCTCGTGCGCACACTGTATCACAAACACTGCCACTGTGATCGCCATCAAGCTCAGTTATACCCAAGTGCGCGCTAGAAGTCTGATCATTCCCACTATTCTTACCGAGTACATAGTAGAAATATATATCGATAAATATTTGCTGCCTGTTGAGTTTCGTTAAACTGAACTCATTCGTGTACTGGAACAGCTGCGCGTTCATTAAATACCATCTCTTTTTTCATAGTGGAATTCTTCAATGCAACCCTTTAAAGCATCAATTAAGCTTGTATGAATGTGGCATACTACTTATAAGCTTGTTCCAAATTTTAAAGATTTTCCAGTGACCCTACATGTAGTGTGGTACATCTACACAATGGACTGTGATATCTCGAATAAAGTAAAAACTGAAGAATGAGGCGGCTTGGTGCAGCACATTCATTGAATCTGCTGGTGACCCTACATGTAGTGTGGTACATCTACACAATGGACTGTGATATCTCGAATAAAGTAAAAACTGAAGAATGAGGCGGCTTGGTGCAGCACATTCATTTGAATCTGCTGTGAAAACCAAATAGCTATGCAAACGAGTATATGTGTCGAATCAATGGAACTTGTTGTTTGAATGAGTGAACCATTGCCAAAGATATTCCTTGCACTTCCTCTGACGTTAATCCAAAGGACTAATTAACAGTCCGAATAGGAGTCCCGGTTCGGCCCACATTTTTATCACCCGGAATAAGGATGAAAATTTCCGGGGTTACAACACTCCAAACCGTGGAATACACCTTCCACCCAAACGTAACATAAAAGACAATTCTGTAGCTTAAGTGCTTCCGGCTTATATTCTTTTAGTTACAGCAGCGGTATTTATCTGGTATTCTTTGATGCACACTATAACGTGCTGACTAAAAATAACTTATTTATCTCACGCGTGATGTGACAACATAGACTTAGAAAGAGACCGAAACTGGTTGATATGTTTTCTCTCGTTGATCCTTCAACAGACGTGATAATTCTGCAAGGACTTTGGTCGCACAAGGACGCCACTATTCTCCAAGCTTTGTTAATGGAGCTAAAATTCCGAACGAGAACGCAGTGGACCTGAAGATAACCAGTTACTCGACTGGAGTAATGTTCAGTCGTTCGCTGTGCTTTATCTTACCCACTTTTGCACTATGAATAACTCATCTACATTAGGTAGATCCTGCTGCTTCTAATAGTTAGGAAAAATCCTGAGTGATTCTATAGTGCTTATCCTTTTCAAGGCCTGTTGGTATCGTTAGATGTAGAAAGAGAGCTACATCAAAAACCCAGCTCCAAATAATATGAACGAACGTACAGGCTTCAACATTCAGACTTCAGCCCATTAACCACCCAATTTCAGACTTATTAGCGGCTAGCTGCCACAAACAAGGTTGTATATCACACTCCCGATTCGCTAAATCTTTGTCTGACGAAGTGATATCCCGAGCCACTCAAAGCAACTCAATGAACGAACCAAATGGAAAAAATCGAACCACAAGGTAAGAAAAACAACATATGAACAGAACTGCCAAAAAGATGGCGTTCAGCGAACCGACCGGATACAGGGGAACGCAACTCAGATCCAAACGCAATTCAGATTCTGCGGCGACCTACTGGCCAACGCGACAACCACCTCAGGACCAACCAAGCACTTAGGAGCCATGAGATACTGTTTAAGCACAGGCAAAAAATGAATTCACCCGCTAAAAACAGCGCCAGCGATGACACGTTGATTGGTGAATGGATGTCTGCCTTCTATCTGCCACGCTCGGCTGACAGACCAACAATCAACCAGTCAGTGAGATTAGGACTTAGTAGGCTCTACGCACAATATACCATGGATTGATACCTCGTGTTACGCATATGGCTCTGCCAATCTCTGTAAAATTAAAGCCGATAGTTTATCGATGCATTCCTTCTACGGCTAGGAAGCTGTCAAGCGAACAGTTTCCGAATCTGACGCAAGGTTTAAAGAAAAACAAGAAAATACTCACATGCAACAGTATTATTTCTGTGTAATTGTTAACATAGAAATAAACTACCAATCAACATCAGTGATTTTAGGCTTTTAGGGCTTCTTTAAACTCTAGACGTTCTTTTCGGTTTAATGTTTTCCATATCCTTCCACAGCTGAGTAAGACTGTAAATTCATCAGATTTCTTACTGAATAGCAATATTCGAACCCGGATTAAGTGAGAAGTTTAAAAGTACATAAACAAGTTAATAATGCGAACGTCGCAAAGAACTTGAATCAGGACCATCACTCTTCGGATCGCAGGTCATCAAACGTTTCCTCTTTTGATACAGTACCCTGAAGTGAAAATCCAAAAGCATTCAGTCACGTTTGCCCCACCCGTTTCGTTTTGTTTTCTTACGAGGGAATGATGGGCAGGTAGACGAAGTGTGCCATGCCTGAAAATCCAAAATCCAAACAATTCACCTAAAAAACGAAAAGCAAGAATTTCATTGAAATTCAAACAACGGTCACTAGTTTTTAGCTGTAAAATTCGCCGGAGACCGGCGTCATTGCTACGGGTACCCATCGCTGTGCGAAAGTGAACGTAATATCAGTGAGCAAAAGCAAATTCTCGATCCTCTAGGGTGCGTTTAAAATATGTAAGACCATCGTTGATACCTCTGCCAATAACGTTAATATGAAGCATTGCAGCATCTATGCCAATTGCTTCTGGTTGGTAGCTGCAAAACATATGACAACTTTGTCCTCTGCAAAAGGGAAATTTTATTCTGTTAACGCCGAGACAAACTATTCAAAGTTCTTTGCTCCAGGTGATAAAAATAGGCGACCACAAACCTTGAAATTAGCTTAGACAATACAAGTGAGTATTTAAAAAAATCTTCATTCTAAACTCCCAACCATATATCGGTTCGCTAAATCAAATCTTTCAGTCGCAGTTTATAAAGAAGAGTCAATTGTGAGGAGAGTCCTAGTTAGTCAAAACGAATTAAGAGGCGCCAGCCATTATCCGAGGGATTTGAATGACAATCCGAATCTAGTCAACGTCATGAATTGATCAGACTAAAAAATCGCAAGCCTTAGTTGCGAATACTAGAAAGACTTCGAAGGAGGTTACCAGAAATTGGAGTGTTCACCTGATGAACATTGTGGAGCGTACACTACAGTGTCCGCTTGGGGTCAGAAATTACATGCGCCCTTAGTTGAGTTGGACTATCTTTTGAAAACTCTACTTTAGAAGATGGCCAACAAAAAAGATGCTGGAGACAATTCATGCCACAGCTAGAGAGAAATACTGTGTTTAAGGGGGAAGGAAGCCTGTATTACTAGATCCTTGTTAGAACCAAAGTTAACAAACACCCCGTTACCACACCAGAGCATATTACTGCCGTACTTTTGGATGGGTTTTCCATCACGTTACGTTACATGCTAAAGCCGACAGCGGCCCATATCTTTGGCGTAAGTTACTATGAGGTATAATTGGAGACAGAAGACAAAAAGTAAAAGAGTAAGAAAACTCACTCAGCGGTCCATTACTGTTTTCATCTCAAACGGTAATGGGACATTTGTGAATGAACTGCCAAGCGTGGTGTCAGCCGATCTATAAATAAAGTCTTCACATCTCTGTGAACAGTTGTGGTTACAAGAGCATCTGATTTCTTTTTTGTGTGTTGTACTGCAAGCAACAATTTGATAATTGTTAACGCGGTTGCTGAATAAAAAGCAGGCTTTATTGTCATCAATTCAGACAGATCTCTGTTACATTCCGCGTCGTATTTTAGTTGACTTTCGTCGAATGCAGGATGCTGATGAGCACGGATCATGAAACTACAAATGGATTAATACACTACACAGACGGGGTAAGTGGCTTTCCTTGTTACGTCCATCCAGTAACGCTCATTTGATGAATCCAGGATTACCGACTTTGCCAGCTTAAATGTAGAAAAGAGTTCCCTCTCTTGCATGGCCAACCCGGAAAGGCACAGCTAGAGAAGTACCATTTGGGCAAGGTACTGTTACAATTTATTCGAAAGCCACAGGGTCATAAAACCGTTTGGGAGGGATGATGCAATCCTTACTGTAAGAGACACGAAAGCAAGGTTTATTTTATCTTATTAGCAGCCGGTAATAAAGGTACGAACCAATGAAAGTGAACTGTAAAATAACAAAACCATTCTGCGTTTGTTGCAAAAGAAATGGAACCAAAGAGTCCGTTCTCGGTTTGCATAGCTGTTGGCTAAGACAAACGGATTGCTTGTATTTAGCTTGCATGGGTACCTTGAAAGTAAAAAACCAGGGGCGATTTGGATGTGTGTTATAACCAAGTTACGGTCCAATCCTGAAAGTGATATGACGTTCATCAGAATTTGTTGGGCTACGTGTGGTGGAGTAACATCATTGCCAACCTCAACCCATAGTATACATATTATCTAAAATATGATCAAACCTCATCAAGTCTGTAAATTCTAATCCACAGATTCCAAAAGTTTGGCCCGTCAATCCTAAAAACACATATTTTAGTGCTCACGGGATAGAGGATGGTGGTACAAAGTGTGAAGCATGTTTGTCTATCGTCTACAAAGCATTTGGATTTTCCAAAAAAGGCATTCACATATGCATCCATCCGTCACCGTCATAGTTTTATAGTTTGCTCAAACGACCTTGAACTATACACCTTTTATTCTAAATAAAACTTATCAGACAAGTTGCAAAAGCTGACCACCTTGAAAGCGACTGGTTTCTCAGGAATGTGCTTTCATGCAAACTTACTGGAAACTTTTAATTGGGGTTTTAGAACGCTGAATTTTTCACAATTAGCAATTAGCAACAATTAGCACAGCTGAATGGCTTTAGAATAACTCGAAATAACTTAACAACTAAAGCTTCTTAATAAAATTCTTTGGCCAAAGCTCAAGATAGATCAACTGTTGAACAATTTTTTTTAAAATTTCTGTATGTTAGTTAACTGAGGCTGAACTATATTCAGTACTTGCTATTCCAAACATATAAAATTTAACTACAAAATTCAGTGAATAATCCGAATATTTCCCTTAATTTTGGATAATTCAGGCTTTACCGGCGACAGGAAAGTATCCTTCCGTAATGGACCGCCTTCAAGCTGAACCAGATATATCAAACTTTGTCCAAGCATTGCCACCTGACACCAAAAATGCTCTGAGTAGACGTGATTCCCGAGAGTTGTACACGGTGTTTGCTCCGACCAACGATGCTTGGAACGATGCGGTAAAACGTCTTGGACCTGGTGCAGTAAGTAAAATCATAAAACGTATTTGACAAACTCTCTTGTAAAACACAACAGACAAAAGCTGAATTTGTATACTAATCATTGATCTGGCATTACTTAGACAGAGGGCAAAAATCTTTCCAGAGCCTACCACCGGTTTTGTCCTTTATCTCTTTATCGTAGTCCACGTCTCTCAGCCCCCGTTAATCTTATTTCGTACTTGAATACCAAAGTAGAGGCGTATAGATTTAAACACGCATTTCAAAAGTAAGGGTGAGGAGAGATGCAGTTAATCATTTTTATGCTACGCGCTGCGCAAGAGGGGCAATCGAATAGTCTTTATCAAATGCGTTGCTAGTGTTGTAGCAAGGTAAATACTACATCTCGAACATTGTTACCACGAAACTGTTACACGGCCGGTTAAAAAATACGATAAAGAAAATAGTAAATTGGATGGCAGCCGTGTTTTACTTTAGCTCTAATTTTCAACTTAATACTTATCGTTATCTAACTTATTGTTCAAGTGCAAAGAAAGCTTGGTAAATTTATGGATGCCAAACCTAATGAGTGAGAATAATTGAGAAAGATCCCAAAAATATGCCGTCTGAATGTTCGCAAAAACCGTATAAAAAAAAGTTTTCGGTAACTAGGAAATCGCTAGAAATAAAACATCACAAACGAGACAATCAGCTGGGTTCCAGATGGGTGTCTCGCAAAACCAAATTAGTTTGCAAATGAGTATATTTCGCTAAAACCTGATGTTGGTTTTGTAAATCACATAGCTTTTAGGAATTTAATAAGATGGTTATCTAAACTCCTTGTTCTTGAAGGTGAGTAAGCCTTCTGGTAGAACTAATCAGCAAGGTAAAATTGCTCGGTGTTTGTCTTTGAGACTCAGGACCAAAATAAAACAACTTGGACTAGGTGATTGCCAAATATAAGAAAATTACTTATAACCTCTGTTTGGGAGAGCTCTCTCCCAAGATCCATTATATAATATGCTACCAATGTCGATCTAACTGCATCACTTGACTACGGTCGAATCAGTCACAGTGCAATCACAAACTCCGATACTGTGCTGTCATTAATTATTCAGAAGAGAACTGAGTCTGTCTCGATCATGTGACATGAATCGATTAACCCAGTGTGTCATTGGCACTCCAGAGTAAAAATTACAGTATCCAATATGATGGAACTTGGGTTTAACTAAGCCAATTTCCTGCTTTCGAGTTCTTAACCTAATAGCCAGTATTATCTTTTTATTCATTCTTCCTTATTTTAACCATTGGATGTGTAATGAACTGATGAAAGAAAACATGAATACTTGTCATTGTGTATTCTTTTTTAAAAATATGGAAGTAGCTAAGTTCCTAATGCTATTTCCCTTCCTTTTCATTAAGTCTGTTGCTTCCCTGGCCAACCACCACGTCCTTAATAAAATGATCTGTTCCGGAGCAATCATTCAAGAATCCAATGATGTTGGACCGACACAAGCTGCCGACTACATTAAACTAACCCTTACTTCTGATGGCAACCCAGCGGTATTAGATGCATGCAGTCAACAGATTCCTTTCCTTAAGAAGGATCTTATGTCAAAAACTGGTGTTGTACACATCATTGAACGGGTGGCAACCTCCCTTCTGCGTGAGTTTGCAGAGCACAAGTTTCATCCTAACAAACGTTTTTTTCTCTTAAATCTTGATAAATTTGTCCAGTAACAGTAGCTGAATTATGTAACCATATGGTTGCTTGTTTGTTTGGATCAGGCTCGTATAATCGAATGTTGAACATGTCATCAACACAAGAGCTTTTTTGGGAATCATCCGTTAGAGATCTTAAATATTTCTTTGGAATACCTGTCCAGTAAACCCTCTGAAGTCAGCTTACATTTCTGCTGCATTCAGTTTTTTTTCTGATCTTTATACAGGCGGCTGTTGAGTAATTTGGGTGCTGAACCAAATGGTAGTACTCAGGTTTACAAACTTTGTTGCTTCGGACGTGTTAGATCAGTAGCGGATTCATGTTTCATGTCAGTAAAGTATTTATTTTACGGCTTGCGTTGTTTAGGCAATTATTCGATAAGTTTTAGGTCCTGAAGAGATGGGCATGAACACGGCGTTCACATCAAACCCGAGCGTCAAAAGCATTGCAGTTCTGGCTGCTCATTGCTCAATCGGTCTACTCAATTGACGGTACTCCTAAAACGTTACTGTGTTTTACAGTCAATCGAAACATGTACTACAGCAACGTAAGGAATTTAGGAGGCAAGCTTTCGAATCCCCATCAGTCTCTATTCGCATGCACTTTCACAACCCACTACGGTTTTTCAGACAGCAAGAACTCTTAAAAATCACAGAAGCGAAGACCAAAAAACTCCCAATGTAACCTATTGTAACCAGTCCAACGATGATAATCCCCATCCCTCGAGAGGTTACATCCTGTAAACTAACAAGGTCTACAATAAAATATTAACCGCAGGCTTTTGTGAGCAAAATTAGTCTTCAAATTTCAGTAGACTTTAGTTGTCCGCCTATCTTCTGGAAAAATACGGACTTTTGATATTTTGCTTTCATCACCATTACAAACTCAGAGGGCAATTGGACTATCCCTTTAGGAATGTGTACTATAGATTGTACAGGATGTGCGAAGGGACAAAACATGTGTTGAATCCATTTTTTGCTTTATTCTAACAGGCAGGAGTAATTTAAATACATGTCCAAAAAACAATACGCCAGCTGAATCCTTTCCTGAATCATTTAAATCACTTTGAAGTGGACAGAACCGCATTCAAAACGTAAGATTTTGGTTTTAGTAAAGGCCTGGGTACAAAAATTCGAAGTTTATTATAGTACTAAAGTGGCCCTTGAGTAAGCATTGTTAACATCGTTATTCATGGTAGCAATTATGTTAGGGTTTGCTGTAGGGATAAAGTATTTACCGAATTACTCTTTCCAGCTGCATTCTCATAGAAATATCTTACCAAAAAGATGGGGTTAACTAAATAAAGGTGTATCAGTTCACGGAATGGACCTCTTACTTATTCATTAATCTTCCCTTTTGAGGCAAGTTCTCGAGCGACTGCACTAACCTACGTTACTTTCACACGGTCATCTAAGCATTATTTCAAGCATAAATATACTTCATTTCTTGTATTTAAACAAAAAGGTCTACGACTAGAGTCGTTTTAGAATATTTGCGGACTTATGTAGATAAGTGATTTGGACAACTATATTTTTATGAAAATTGATTCATTTTAGAGAGCACCCAAAATCTCTACTAAAATTTTTTCTACCCCCGGAAGTGCTTATGCAAAACTCACGAAAATGTGTCTTGATTCGAGGACTCGGCTTCATTTTTAGTTCAATGTGCGGAAAGCTCAAATATCATGTTTTTCGGAGCTTAATCTAGCACCATGACCTCTGGTCCTCGTAGAGCAGTACCCATAATAGCAATTTATGCGACGGAGTATGTCACTGGTCCTTGGTGTTTGAACTAACATTACATGTGTCTTCGAAGCCGTCATCAAACTTACCTGCAAGCAAAAAAAGCATGATGGAAGATAACGAAAATTTGTTGAAGATGTCTAGGAGGAAATTAATGCTTGTGGCCTTTTAAAATGGTGGTAACATGCACCTATAAATTAGAAAACCTAATGGGAATCTTGGGAAAGTTCAAAGGTTTACTTAGATCAAACTGGATGCATTAGTTTTAAACACTGGTCTTATGAGGATTTTCCCAGCATTTCCTTGCTAATTCACCTAAATATACCTATTCTCATACATCGTTTAGGCGGATAAAAGCAAAACGTCTTTTTAAAGACCAAGATTATTCGAAAGTTTTCTTAATTACACTGAATCCGATTGAATACATTAAGCCTTGCTGATTAATCACGATTATGATCGATGGCGCAGAACTTCACAGAAGTGCTTGATAAAACAGAATTAACTATCATACAATAAATAAAAGCCTACGGTAATTTGCGTTCAATTGTACCCTTGTTTGATTTAACTGACGGAAAAAAATCTTTTTGAATCATTTTTGTACGAACAATCTCAAAATAGTTACCAGACTGCTAAGGACGCATTTTCTACCCCCAGACACTCTAATGGTCATGAGGAAAAAGCGGAAAATTCTCTTTCGTGATTTTAGATTGGTTTTGCGTATACTCACATGAATTTCGTACACAAAGTTGTCGCCGTGCTGCGCAATTTTTTTCACAATTTTATTCTTGCCTTATCTTACATCACGCAGCCCTCAGTCTCAATGAGGCAATCAACTGCATTGCGCAGGGTCCGCAACACAAACTTTTGCAATCTGCGCGTGAAATCAAAGACTGCGATGTGGTGAAAAACACAAAAGCCAATGTGATTCTAATGCCAGACGAGGAGGCCTTTAAATGTACGTGTAAAACCATAGATAGTCTGATTTAGAACGCTAAGCAATAACTGATGGTATGCTTTGAGTCGCTCATTATGGCCTATCCATTACTTGAATAACAACACGGGCATCAAATCGCCAGGCAAGGGCATGGTCGTGCGTCATCTACACAGAAAAACAAACCGACTTTTTAAAACCGTATTGTACACATTTTAGTATCGAAAAATGCTGGCTTACTGGCCCGAAGGTTGAATGAACTAGCTTGAAGTATTTAGCCTTCCCTGATATGAAAAGCAGGTTGAAGCCGTGCACACCAACGTAAAATTAAAGATTCTGTAAAGTAACAGTCTTCTGTTGGAATTTATAATTTGTAGTGTTGGGTAAACAAGGATAACTGTAGTTTTAATGACTCAACGTTTGGATCACTGTGAGCGATATTCGTCAGCAGAGATGTAATTAGTCATAAGGGAAAAAGGAAAAAAAGTTGACTGGTTTCGGTGTGCGGTCAAATTTCAATTAGCCACTCAACTGCATGCTGCTGTCTTTTGAGTAAATACTATTGCAGTCGCCAGAGCAGATAGTGTATGCACACTTAGTTTGATGAATTGGTTAGATGGGGTATTTAGGGTGTACCTCGTGCCTGTCAAACGCGTTGCGTCACTTCAACCCTGTGCGTATGTCTAACCGTAATAAAACCGCACGAATTCACTTAGCGGTTTGTGTGCAAGAAGTCATCTGAAATATTGGTAGAATGTTACTGTTTCCTGGGTCTCTGATGCGTCCACCAAAAATCAGACGAACAAGGGTTGTCATCTTTCTGGAAGCCCAACTTGTCATCAGTCAGAAATTGTTGGCTTATTTATGCATACTAGCTAACCAGTTGAGAAGCTGTAACTGTTCCTTTGTTCCACATTTGTTGCAAGTGATTACAATGAACACGTTTGCATTGTAAACAAATGTTTTAGCTGTCAAGTGAAAGGATATTACGATACAACTTAAAATTGCTATCCGAAGGCAGTGGTTTATCGACTGAATGACTAACTTTTGGGACTTTTGCACTCAGTAAAAACACTCGAACAGATGTTATAGCTTAGGTGTCATAATGTGCTATATCGGACGCTGGTTTTAGAAGGTTTTTATCAGTTAGCTTGATCATCCATTTGTTATCCTATCCAAGGGCTAACCTTGAAAAGAAATCAGCTCGAAGAGGCAAAACGAATGCTAGCTGACAGGAAGTACAAGTGTCAAGTATATGCCCACCACATGCTTACGGACAAAATGATGAAACAACCATTTAAGTTCAACGGCTTTGGACAAGAATATCGATTTGAGACCGACTACAGAGCCCCCAATGGAGAACATCCACCCGTTTTCAGTCATTATGTCACAGGGCGAGATGGACGAAGGGTAAGATGAGATCAAGCGTACACTAACCAACGTTTCATTAAAATCACCTCAACAACAGAATAATAATGGTGTCCACTCGGATTGTAATGTGTACTTGCAACTGCTTAAAAAATTCAACCAGACTCTCACACAAAGGTACGCGAAATAGGAAAATCTGCTTTTTATGAATCATACATTTTATTACATGGTACCTTACAAAAATTCCAAAAAATACGGCTCCTTTACAAAATTTGGTTGAGACACATTTGCAACTTAAAGTTAAGAAATGAAAAGCTTCCTTGCGTTATCATGTTTTCAGCTAAGTATATTCCAGGACCATCAAAGATCAATCCATGTAAAAAAGGAATAACTCTGGCAGCTAAAGTGTGAATGTCTTACAATCAGAGTGGAATCTGTCGAAGCGCATTCAGAGGCAGCTGGGAGAAGGAACGTCATCCGAACTAGAACTTTCATTAATGAAACGAAATGATTGAGATCATTAGCCGAGCTATGTTTTCGCCATTTATTTTTAGTAACTTAATGGCATGCAGCCGCTTCATATGCATTCCCTTAATGTCCCATAAATAAGTAACACCATTTCAGATGCTTTTCACTATTCCAACGTTAACGCAGGTTCAATTCCCCCAAAGATTGATAAGATAAATACTACAGTTATAAAAGTTTTTGTACAAAAAAGCCAAAAGGAACAAAGTAAGTTTAGAAAGACATGTCCGGTAGTGGAGGCCGTTTAAGCAATTTCCGTTTTCAATTGATATTTTATCCTGTCGGAGAGGTTAATCTCCAGTTTTCCGAATGGACCGACCAGTTTGCCGAATGGACCCACAGTGACACTTACCCACGGCATATTGACACATCTGAGCTTGGTGCATCAACTTCTACGTATCCAACGCACTGTTAGATATTCTAACACTGTGGTCTATGTTGATGACTCTTTTGAGCGAATTCCACGGCTGTGAAGACCCCAATAGTAACCAGATATTCAGACTGCTTTAACGTTAAACGTAGGAACAAATTGCGAATTTCAAACTTAAAGAGAACTAATGAAATTCTAAGCTGTCTACTTGCACTGCTCTCTTTGGGTTTTCGTTGCGATGGTTTAACACTACTGGAACACCATTTCTGTATAAATTAGTTATATAATTTTTTGACATATTCATTCTTTATATCATCATTTCGATAGATTTTGTTTGGTTAAGATGAAAAAAAGATTGAACAGTGTGTTCTCACACCTTTCTCAGTATTTATTTCCCAGACAGCTATGTAAACCTACGGGCAATATATTTGTACCTCTAGCACTCTCTTAGTAAGAAAGTACATTAGGGATCTTGTGCGGCGGTAATCATAATTCTTCATAAAAAATCAGCAAGAAAAAAATTTATCTTCAAATTACATTGGACTATACTTCTATTCATTTCTTCCATGGCAGTTAATCAGTTGAAGCTGGGAATCTTCGCTGTAAGGAAAAACTACTTACTGTGGGAGAAGCATCTTGAAAGCCAATTATGTAGCTACGCTACATTTTGGTCAGTGAGTCTCCAGTACATGTCGTTTGGTAGAATCGTTTCAAAAAATAGTCAGATTGTCCAAGGGTTTGGAAACCATAGATGAACTGCTTCAAAAAATAAATTGGAGCTCGGACACTATTTATCAATTCCGAAATCGGTACTCAGATCTAAACGGTCCAGTGGCGTAAGCGCGCTTAACAGGATAGACCAGTCTTATCTAGTTTCACCTCAGGTCAGCTGAAACAGTTCAGTAGTATGCTGAATTAACAACGGACTTTTGACAATGTTCTCTAGGCTCATCCAGTTAAACAGAACTTCGCTGATTACAGAAGTTCCACAACAAAGTCGGCTTGGATTAGCCACCGTGAATAAGCATAAGGCATCACGATAAAAGACTACTTATTGGAATGCAGCAATATCAGTGGTCCATCGATTTATAAAAGGCGCGGGTTTGAAAGCAGAAGTCAATATTTGTTTGACCACCTCATTCTTATGGCAGACAATAGTTTTGCTGGATTGTTTTTTGGATTGCCTGGGACACAAACTAATCAGTATACTGAAACAAAGTGGATTATTCCAGATTGACCGATTCCGTTTACTTTGTGCCTTACACATCGTACCGCTACTACACCCGTACACAGTTTTGTGAGCGTAACGTGACTGATAATGAACTAGAAACTTTCTTATTACTTCTCATATTACTTAGTTTACCCGTAGAAGGGTGCTTCATAGAAACACGCAATGTTATGCAGATACGGACAGGTAAACTCGGCTTTGATAAACCATCTAGATCTAAACGATTTATGTGTTCAACGATCATTCAACCCTTTCAATAATACCGATAAACGCCGAACGTAGCGAAGCATGTACGTCAAAATTAATGTGGTTAACTTGCAAAGCCATAATCCGTCTTCAAACTAGTTGACGGTGACAACACCCCTATCACATGCATTTTATTTGAGAGTTGTAAAAATTCAACACGTTTTAGGTGAATTATCAGGTTACTGACAGATGCAACACGATATACAGCTTTTGGTTATCTTTGAATCCGAATACTGATGGGTGTTTGTACCATCGTTCCACTAGTGACTTTCATTGAATTATAATTTAAAGGTTGAGAAATAATATACATCCAAGTAATAAATAAATTTGCGAGTTAAGTTGTATATCAGAATAATAGATGGTTGCAGGCCCCACCTACCGCGGGACGTTCAATAAAGAGAACTAAGCATCAAGGTTAGTAATTCCCGTACTTAATGCACTACTCATGAGTTTACTGAAATTTCTTCGACAGCCCACGACCGGTTTCACCCTACTTGGGGATCATCAGGTAGGCGTAGTCCCTGAGTTTCCGTCAACCTTATGTTATGCTTGTAACCAAATTGCACGAAATTAGCGAAACACATTTCATTTGCAAACAAATTTGGTTTTCGAGAGACTAACGCGGAACCGAGTTTAAAAAACATAATAAACGAGAGATTCAGCTGGGTTCCCGGTGAGCCTTTCGAAAAACGAAATTTGTTTGCAAATATTTGTATTTCGCTGAGTTAGTGATTCTCGTTCGCTGCTCTTGAAAGGATGGGCATGCTTCTTGATTGTGAATTACAGTAGTCAAACTCACTGTCCAAACATACTGATTTTGCATTTATTCCAACTATGACTTCGTCACATCACCTTCGGGAATCTAGTAACTGGCTTCCAAATGTGATTAGTCGAACGGAACCTGACTCTAAGTGAACTAACAAGAATGATTCGCGTAGAGTTTAGTGTGTTTCTTGCATGTGTACCATGTACTATATATTTCGCAAAGTAACATTCCCAAATTACGATACATATCCACATGAAATGACCTTATCCTTCTGTTTCCAACATCCCCACATTTAGCTCAATTTCAATGCGGCTCAAACAAGAAACAGAAAACCAATGATCTTCCGAGATGGCGTCATCTATCCCGTTCAGAAACTGAATTTCCCTCCAGATAGAAACATGATACATGTTATAGAAAATGAACCAAACTTGACGTAAGTTTATAATTATTCTAAAATTTATTCTTGTTTACATGAAGGAAAGTAGCTGAAAAGATCAAATCGACGGGTATGCAACAAGAGTTTGCAAAGATGGAGGGCAAAACATTGTTTTTGGCGCCAATCGACATGGGATGGAAAACCAGGGATTTGGAGAATGGATACACAATTGACCAAACCAGAAAAGTGAGTCAGTTCTATCAGCTGGGTAGCCAGACGTAATTACCAAATCAAGTAGCAGATCACTAAGAGACCCCAAAATTTCTCTGATATTTTATATTATTATTGTAAGCAGTCCATCCTTCATTGCGCTGAACTGCCACCACAGTTGCCTGAGATAGAAGAAAATTTTTGTAACAAAACTTTTCTGGAACAATTCATCTCACATTAAAGCAGAGAAGTGGAACAAACACAAACTCCTGACTAGATAACGTTTTGCTAAACAGGAGTTTAGTGGTTGACTTCTCGCGCAAAACAGCAAAGAGATCCGCATTTAAACAACCGTAGATTGCCCAACATGAGTAATGGATTGATGGTTTGTTCACTGATCTGAGTTGCACACTTTCAATCGTGATACAGCGTTACACCAGGTATGTGCTGTTATTGACGTACCTCATTGCTTTGCCTTCACTTCGAGTTGCAGTGAAACCATTGAAACCAAGTGTCCGAGCTAAACGAACAAACCAGAGGCCATATAAGTAATATGATGAGAATGTAGCTCAGTCCGGGGCAGTTGTGTACAGAATTCATTCAAAGAAATTGACAAAGATCACGTACTCACAAGCAGAGGTAACTCCAGGCTTAAGTATAGATAGCTTGCGTAAAAGTGCAGATTGTGTGTCAGCGGTTTAGGCAAAAAGGTGATTTCAAAACATTAGCCAACTGAACCGCAGAAACTAATCAAACGTAAATTAGCTGCATTTTGAATTTATTTGTCGCCTACTTGTTTCATCAGACGAGGTCAATATTCTCCGATCCCTATGAACAATGATTAGTGATTGGAGTCACACATGAAACTGTCGACCAGTATGCAGCAGTAGAAATGTTGCAAAGTTCGAGACCTTACTTCTTTCTGTTACATCACACAGATGCCGTACGAGTAATTCCCCAACCATCCTGGAATAATTTTCACGTAACAACCAATTATCAGTCTATTCGGATGGAAGCAACTGTAGCAGGAAGTTTCGACTGAAATTGCGATTGAATTCCACAGGAATCAATCAACAGAGTTTAAGAACCAGAGACAAACCACTAACAGCACAAAGGAGTCAAAATTTTTCAAACAGAGATGCAGTGCATGCCAGCTGGCAATCCGGGTCATTCATTCAAGATTGCAAGCCTGCGGGATAATATGTTCAGGATACCAATGCGATGACAAATCATATTTTAATAACATACTGTGATGTCTCCATGCAGCTGAATGTGCTGCACCAGGCCGCCTCACGTTTCAGTTGGCACGATATTAGAGATATCGCCTACATATATATACGGAGTGTACTACTCATAAGGTTGCTGAATAAGACCGGTAGAAGAATTCTCAGCGGTCTTTCCGCCTCTTACACTTTCAAGCAGTTTAAAGGAAATTAAAATAATCTGCACCACGAAACAACTACGAGTTAGAAAATTTTTAGCTCTTTAACATTATGGGACTCAAGATGGTAATTTTGTAAGCATTTGAAAAGGTACATTTCATTAGAATGTATAAGGATAAAAAGAAAAATTAGAAATAGACAAGCATAAGAAGTTTGTCTTCGTTTTCATGCCAGACGAACTATGAGTTACGGCGCAGTTTTCAGAAAGAAATGTTGGAGTTAGTTTCACAGCCCAAACAGCTGCTTCCAATGCAGCGAAAGGCCATTAGGTGATGCAAATGAAATGCCCGCGGACTGTATAAATAAATCCAGAAAAAGTTAACTTCCTACCTAGAATCTATTATCTATCACTGTGTTGGGTTCAGGCAAGGACGGCGTACCTTTTAAACGGAGGAGTTTCAAGTAATATTGATAGTTTTGAAGAATTTCTTTAATAATACCTCTGATAGCTACTAGAGCCATCAATTTTCTGTAGGAAACAGCCAAAAAACATCGAATCACCAAAAAGTAAAAAGTTATGAAGGGTCCGAAAATCCCTTTTTTACACCACACTCTTTTATTTTACCAAAATGACTTATATTAATTGTCACCGTTTATATCCACAAAACTTCTGAAAAAGGGATACACCTTAGGTAGGACTACTTTATTTACCTCTAAAAGTGCATACTAATGAGCAGATTTTGATAACACTTTGATGAGTTTTGCAATAATGACTGCGTCAGAAGGTCAATCTCTGATAATTTTTCCCCTGGATTTTATTCAGCTGCTTCAGTTGCACACAATTCCACATGCTTTATTTGGTGGTGAGGAGGGGTTTCTGCGAAGAGCTTCCGTTCAGACGGTGGATACACTGCTTCCGGAGAGGGGTGGAGGCTACGTGAAACTGACCATAAAAGTTCAACCCGATGGAAATACTCTAATTGGGCATCCGGAAATCTCAGAAGACTTATGGGTATGTTTATTGAAATATGGTATAAGTGCATCCAAATGAAACACAAATTCACCAGATGACCATAAGTTTACACACCTTTCATGCCACAGCTATTGGATCCCTACCGAATCCGGTTGGGCACAGTAAAGTTGGACCTAAAACTAACCTTTGCTGGAAGATGTAGTGCCCGTCTCTAAGGGTCTTCTTTTTAACTAAATGCTTACTGTTGACAGAAGGCGACTCTCCTCACTGGTGACTCTGTATCCCAAATCTGATTTTTGTAGCGTCAAAATATAAGCGACGTATTTTCAACATTCCTGGACATTGATTCGATCCTTCCCGTGTATGGTAAGAAAATCGCTATTCAGATCGGTCAGCGATTAGTTGAGGAGACAAAACTTTTAACAGCTTTACAGGATGTGCCCCATAATTTCGGCCTTGGAAGAGTCCGTATTTAAGATTTCAATACCGCGTTTAGAATACATGCAGAGATTTACACAAATATCTTTGGAGTGCGAACACACCGTTCTGAGGTATTTTTTTACAAAGCTCTATTGCCAGAGTATCATATTTTTATAACCACAGGATATTCTGTCCATGTCTTTCATTGTAAACTTCTTTCTTGCTGAATGGCGTTTTTCGTCATATACATCCGCTGTTTGTAAAATTCGATCAACAACCTTTTTTCGCCTGTAAAAAGATTTTTTTCAGTATTTTGAGTGGTCGTTGATGACCCCCAAATTGATCGTTCGAGTAATGATCATCTGCAGAATCCGGGTTTTTAAGCGAATATCTGATGACAAGTTAATCTTTCTGACAAGTTTCGGTCCAAATTTAGCTCGGATAGTGTTAAATAGAATGAGCGCGATGTAGGTATAATATAGAATTTTTCAAAAGCAAAGCAGCGTAGTAAAATAAAATGTTCTCGTCTGACGTTTTGATTACCTTGAGCAAACTTTTCAAAAGATTTCTGCAATCACTTCGATAATAAAAATCTTTGGAAAAGGTTCACCACGGCAATCGAAACGTCGGACTACAACATCTTATTCTACTGTGCTGTATTTGTCTCTGAAAAATTTCACGTTAACTTTGCACTGCTAATCGTTGATCTGAAGCCAATCAACACCAGATCACGCTAACTTGATTTGTACACTCGTATGACGAGCAGAGCCACATCCCAAGTGCAGGCCACTCGACTAGTCGTGGCTGAACAATATATTATACAAGTTTTTGCCTAAAGAGACAATTTCACATCTCATCATAGAACTATGGTGTGTGGTGTTCTAGTACCTACCAACAGCTCTGCAGTATATCTCAGTCTTCTAATTCTGACTGAAACCATTAGCGGATGGGATACTTCATAAGGTTAACAAACAATATCCTAATACTTGTCTTTGTAATGCATTTGCGACATATACACTGCTCAAGACAGTCTATTTCTGTGAGATTCTTCTTGATATTTGTTTTTGGGAGTATTTTTTTCTGAGGAGGACATTTTTTTATTTTTCGAGTGCCTTTTGCGGACAACAAGACTGATACTTGGTTCCGACGATCATTGTTGCCTGTTCCGCGCTGATATAACAAAAACAGCAGGCGCCCAGCTGTAGTGCACGTAGCATTTCCAAGCCCCATGCGGTGTGTTTTTGATCACGTGACATCCGTTTAAGGTTTTACTTGCCTATCAGTACACATTGCTGACCCAATGTGGCATGCGATATTCGCAGCTAATAAGTGTCAAAAGGATTTTTCTGTTTGCTTTTCGTGCGCCTGCAGAATGTTCCGTCTGCGTCTTTATCTCCTATTTCATACAGAATTACGCTGAAATGCTATTAATATCGTGACATTCTCCGTTACTGTTACAGGCAATGGTTCTCAAGTGGAACAAAGTTGGGACCGATGGCGTCGTCTGGGTCATAGACTGGCCAATTAAATGCCCCTATCTAGCATGTTGATTGTTCCCACTCGAATGTCTCGAGTAATGCATTCAAAATATTCTGAAACTTGATTTTACACCCGACATAAATAATTGCACGCCATTGCTTCCTATAATAGCTCTCTGGATGAATAAATGATCATACCAAATCTTCCGAAATTCAATGATCAATTTTCAAATATCCGTCAACTTGGGGTTGGTCCATGAAAGCCAATTTTCCTGGGGCTTTGAAGTGGGAGTGCTCCGTATTGCAAGCTTAGAACGTGGTTGCCAGAAGACGTCCGCATCTCGGGCGGCACCCTGTTTTACGTACAGTGCGATGCTTTCCACTTTGTTCGACGCGTTTTGCGCAGTAAGTTGTCCCGCAGGAGCTTAGATTCATTAAAATTCCTTCCCATCTCCTAATGTCATCTAGTTTTAGCAGCGCAGTGACGACTCACATCATTTGTCAGGAATGCAAAATACTTGTAAAGAAACCCAGCCCCAATCATCAAAAAGCACCGAAAGTGATGGCTTTTGAATCAGTCAAACAGTCAGTAAATTGTCATATTTCATATTCCAAACAACGAGGCGTAATGATAGTGCACTATACGTTAAAAATGATATTAAGTAGTAGCACAAGAATATGCAAAGATTTAGTTGAATTGAAGCAGTTTAAACAAGACAAGATACTAGAGACTGTACTGAATTTTGCGGACCAAGTAGTTTCCTTAATCACAAAAGCATATAAAATATGGTCCATCGGGATCATCCGGTATTAATAATTATATTCCCAATGAATTGACTTAATTTTGGGAGTCCTCAAATCGGTTCGGGACTTCCTTTGCAGCAGTTCCAAACCGTTTATTGCATTTGTAATTAATCAACCGTTAACGACACTTACAGAAACAAAGCTTGATTTAGAGGTGACAAAGAAAAATGCAACACGATAACGTCTCCTGAAAAGTATTACAGTGGCATGAAGAAGCTGGAATGATGAAGATTTCGAGTATGTCGCGTACACATTGCACTGACCAGTGTGCCTTCTCCATTAAATCACTAGTAAAGCCACTGTTACCCGGGAAGTTCGAACACAGATCCTCAAAAGCCATATGCAGTTTTGTTTATCCCACTTGTTGTAAACAATTTTGCATTCTTTCGAATGCATTTGGCAACCTAATTCAGACGGAGCTGGCTTCGGTCGCAAAAAATAGAGGTAGCATAATTTATGAACCTCGTGTATGCCAAATACGATACCATGAAGAAGTGCCGTGAAGTATCGGTGCCACTAAGCAAGTACGCATATCACCGATACTGCACGACATTCAAACTCTGCCAGAACCACTTAATAATAATACCGTTATCTTTGTGGTGAAGTTAAGCAAAACTGATGTTCATAGGTCACACCGGAGACCAAGTTACATTTGAAGGGATGTCTGACGGGTGATTGCGCAGTATAACAGGAAAGTCCTACGGATTTAAGAAACATCACTTTTCCGAAATTGCCACATTGGTTTTACCGTACAAAAGCATAATTCTGACAAACGAAGAGTGCATTTTCTTCAGAATAAAGTTCATGAAAGACTTGCTAAACAATTGGCAGATTGCTGCCAGTTGCTTCCTGGAATGGGGCCTTTAAACCCAGGTTACCTGTCCATCCGAGGCAGATGACAAAACGGTGTGTGCTGATAACTGGTTGACAAAAAATCCCACTGGCCAACATTATGAAAAATCACATTTATCGCTTTTTCTGGTGGAAGTACTAACACTGTGTGCGAAGATATTCGGAATTTCTCCCAGGCTGTTGCCTAACATTTAGAGGTGTAGCTTTAAGATCTACAGAATCTACACTTGTTTGGGTCACCCTCACCCGCAAGTTGTAATGTTCCTATTTTAAACCGCTGAACTTGAAAACTACAACATATTGAGGGCAGTCGTACACCTTTTTGGACCGTTCTTTGTTCAATAGATATTCCGTCCATGAACCATTCTGCAAGTATAATACCCATAACTTCGGTCACCAGAATATCAGTAGGACATAACAATACAGAAGCTTCCGTTTCTCGATAACATTTGTAAGTGCGTCATTTGAGTTACTGTCGGACTGCCCGCCTCGAGAGCTGTATGTTTTGCATCCAAAGTAGCACGTTCTACACTTCTACTATATCCAACCTAGATTTTGAGTTTTAATTGCCCCGATTAACGCCAAACTTTATTGTATATATGGTGATCAATAAACGAACCAATCCAAGTAAAGTTCCAAACTTTGTCATATTCAATCACTGTTCCAATCTACCTATGCAAACGTGAACAAGAAGTACCAATCAAACAGCATGCTTTCCATAAGTGTCATGCACAGAGGGAACGGAGCACCATGAATCAGATAACTGACGTACGATTTCCACTAGAATGATCTACTGAAGGGAACCAGGCGTTTCCGGATCCCTACGGAATGTAAACTGTCGACCATGGCTCTGTTTTAGTGTGCAGCGCTATTATTCGCGGGAATCTCATTGTTCTGCTTGTCCATACGTGCGGCTTGGAGTCAGTTTTTTGTACGCTGATTTGCATTATGTCTGGTGTGTTTATGAGTAAAAAAATGTAAACGATATCTTTTTATTTCGAGTAATCATCAATGCGCCCAAAATTCGTTCGCGTTGCGTATAGCGGCTCTTCGAGAGCAACGTTATTTAGGAGGGTACGCCAGGCGGTTGCAGCAGGCGGCTGTTTTTGTTGCCCAACAGATGAATGCGTCCACAATGTCTTTGGTTCAACCTCTGATGGAAAGATTCATAATTAATCAGATGATGGGTTCCAGATATGCCACATTCGACTGTCCCAGGGGGTAAACTGAGCGACACGTTATAACCCTGTTCACCGGCGGTTTCCGCAATCCCTGTTATCGGTACCTTGGTGCAGGAAGGCCATTCACCACTGCTGTCCCTTGAGAACCTTTCAGTTACTACAGACAACTCAGCTTTTTGCCGCAAGCTAGCTCACTAAGAGTCGTTGAAGGGATCATCCGTATGTTGTGCTTACATTTATATTGCTTTTCAACAGTATCCTTTTTAAACCATTCGCAACCGCGTAAGAATATTTTAACAGCTGTTAGTCGGATGGCGCGAAGGCTGAACCCACTTTTATCCTGTTTCGCCGTTGCGTTGGACAAACTAAGGTACATTTTCCCGTCTCTTCCGAAGGATCCACTGACCGTAATGAAAATTCCCCGTCGCTGCTGCGTGCGTCAGAAGGCCGGTGGGATATACATCCAGTTTGAGCAGAAAGCAAGTTCGCTGAGGCAGCTCCGTGACATGCATTCTGGGATGACAAATGTCGATATTCAAACGAGCGTTGATGGTATTCGGGCCTACAATAACTCGCGTACCGAGGTTTGTTCTATACTCCCCGCGTACTTTCATCTTTATTCGGTCAGCCTTTTGGAATATACTGTGTTAGGAACAAGCCAAATGATGCTCATCAGCTGATGTCTGACACAGTCACTGAGCCGACGGACGTTTTGGTGAACGGTGTCTTCGGGGTGTACCACATTCACACCGGCCGTCTTGTAGGTATTATTTGCGACATTTCTGAAGTAGTGAAGGGACACAGGATATCTTAGCTGTGATTACTGCACATTAAAGGGTGTGCACAATGGCATGTGAATGACTTTTTCCTAGCTGACAGCCCCCTTAAGTCGTGATTCTGATTTCCGAACCCGAAAGCACCATACGGTTCCCAGTTCAATGGAGGACCTGAATATCCCCATGAATGACGGTTTCCCAACAGATTATGTGCGCAGTGTGTCTTGGTTTCGTGTGGAAATTCGTCATTTTACTCAGAGAAATGCCACTCGGACACTGGGTTAGGCTTTCTTTGGAGTCCTGGAACCTATTGAATTGAGCAAACCTACTAAACTGAGCAAAAGATTGTGGTCCTAAGCGCAGATTTCCAGCATAAATGTCGAGATGTGATAGGCTTGGGTCGGTGGAATGCTTTCAAGCTACGACAGTTCCTTCTGCACATAGAACCCGCTGTTTTACGAGATATTTCACATCCTGACGTTTACAAATGCTTCTGTAAAGACTTTTATGGGGGTGTTCAACTTTCTTCACAACACTACGCTGATTTTTTAATTGACGTTTCCAAGGTTTGTGTTGCAAAATTTGCTGCTATTTTTGGACCGAATCATTTATTCCACAATATACACTCGTTCTCCTATTTGCTTAATTTTGTCAAGCCCTACGGTTATTTGGATTGTTGTTCCTGTTTCCTCTATGAATCAGAGCTAGGGCATTTAAAGTATTACATATATGGGCCGAAACCACTGGCTGTTCAGCTGTACCGCCGACTGGCCGAAAAGGGACTACTTTGGGGGTGATGTGGGTTTGCCACTGAGGACGACAGCTGCAAGAGGATGTCACAGGTTTGTGCACAAGGTTTTCGTTTATTCGAAAACTCTCATGACGATTGCATTTTGCTTGACGGTGAACCCGCTGTCATTGTAGATTTTTCTACAACATTAGTGAGCGTCAGACATTCGAAACACTTCTCCCATTTTACATTCGCGTAGTGAAATCAACGGATGCTTTATGTTCTCATCTTTGCATACTCCTACTGATTATTGAATAATCTTGCGGCTGGTATCCGGCAAATGTTTGCCGCTTGTATTACGCAATATTTTATTAAACAAATACGTATACTTGAGTTGGTGTTGTGTTGTTTCTTCAAAGCTTTCATGTGCATGTGTGAAATCTTTTCTGGAATCTCGTGTTTGGAACATGTATTCAGACATGTAAGCTGTTCTGATTTTCGAGGACAACTCTATTGGCATAGTGCAGGAATCGTGGTTCGTACCACCTGATTCAGTCCTTTGGCTCTCGTGCACAACAACATCATTTCATGTGCTAACCTGCTCAGGGTAACCCTGCCAAAGTGTCCGTTGAAGTCGTGCACTTACAAAATGTTCCGACGTTGCAGTAAGTTCATGTTCATTGTAATATATTTTAGACAATTTTGCTGATCCATTGACTGCCCAGCTGGAAGCCCTAGACTCGAGCATACTTCCTCCGCGGAGCGGCAGGAGGAGTGGGCTCGCACGGGAGTCTGAGCGCATTTATAACAGGAGACCGAAACTAGCCAAACATGGAGAAATAACCACTAATTTTGTGGCATCAAAAGTATTATCCTTGCTTTTGACGACATTTCGCTAATTAACCACGCTTTAATTGTCCAACATTTATTTAATCGGGCGCGGCACGTTCGGAATCTACTCCTTTTTCGTAGCGGAATTTTTCGCTGTCCAATCCATTTACAAAGCCCATACGTGTTATTTAGTGATTTCCCCCTTTTGCGTAACTTTGTGTGATAAAATCTGTCAGTTTGCACTCACTTCCTGCGGTGCACTTAATCCCAATCATGACCCGGATCAGTACAGGCTGCTTTCCACAGCCATCGATAGACCACAACAGATGTGAAAGAAATGAGTGCCATTCGTACGTACGACTTGGTATGCAATGCCACATCTGCAAGACTTGGTGACATTTTAAATGCACAGATTTAAGGGACGACCGGGTAGGCCAACTGGCTACCTATCCTGACCCATTTGTTTGCGCCAGCTGTCTCCACTTTAGGGGTGAAATGCATCCCGTAACCAAAAACAAAACCACCAAAAATGAATCAAGTCCCCACTGCTTAATTGGAAAGACTAGTAGGAATTTTCCGCTTTAATCTGGATACTTGACGCAAACCTAGCGCTTCTTTCTAAAGCTCTGAAGGACCAGCACAAAAACCGCGGCGACCCGGGGCAAAGCTGATAATGGACTTTCTTCCCTCATCCGCTGGTTACGAAGAAGATCACCCAGATCTCTTTTACGGCAGTGAAGACCGCCACGGCGTCCTAAGTGGGCTGGCGCAAGGAGGAGAGCAGGCTGATCTTCTTAATGTCATTCTTCCGAATATTCACGCCTATGAAGCAGACATGGTCGCTTCTTGGCGGTTTCCTCATACAGCCTGACCACGAATCACTTCACGCAGATTGGTTACGCCAGAAGAAAAACAGGCAAACACTTGGGCTTCGAGTTTATCCTTCACCACATCGGCAATACAAAAGATCCTGCAGCGAAATTTCAGCATTTAACAGGCCTATCTAATGATCAGGCATACATATCAGAATCGCCCTCTAGACGAGTGAAAGCTGGGACATGGCATTTCTAGAGGAATGGGGCAGATCAATTTTCTGCTTGGTGCCGGGTAATTTGGCCCGAAGCTCGTGGCCAAAGCGAATTTTGCTCCTAAATACACGCCGACGCAACCAAGTGAGACTCTGGATTGCAGTTTCTACTCGCCCACTGCAGACCCTTCAACTATAAGAAGCAGCGATGCTAGGGCGGAGGCAGACCCCACGTGGACGCTGCGCCTAAAGTGCACAGAGCGATCACCGCTAATTTTCATAACAGACGATAAAGGCGCAACAGTGAATTACCTACCGAAGTCGACTTCTGAGCTCGACTATGTCAGACGTGCGGAGACCAGCAGCGAAGCCTACCGAAGAATCAACCATGAGCGTTGACCTCGAAATCGAGGAACGCTGCGAGAACCTTACAACCAGTGATTATATGAAACTGTCTGTCTCCAGCTCCACTCCATCAAAAATGGCCTCGTTGAGTGTGGACGAGCGGCTACAAGTAACAGCGGTCGAAAAGTTTGCCTACGGTGGAGGGAAACTACGTCCCTCAAAGGTAAAAGGTATGCGCAAACTGGGCTTCGGCGGCGCTAAAAGTCTTCAGATAGAAAACAGCTTTCAGATCCATCAAGACAGGAAGCGTGTAAGTATACCTCAGAGGCTTCTTCAAATCTTTGACCTCAAACCCTGCGTACAGCTATTAAATCTGCACCCTTCTGTGGTTGCACAACTCTCTCGTCTCCAACTTCGGAGGCAGTAGAGACGCTGTTGAAATGCTTATCCACAAACTACCTCGGGCTTTTCAAGAAGATTTGCGATGGGAAGCAGTCAGTAATACTAATACTACTACTAATAATGATAATAATGTTTATTCCCAACTTTTGGGTGGCGTACCGTCCGCCATGATCATAGTTTTACAGTCAGAATGGAGCATGACTGAGGGATTTGTGGGGGTGCGGATTGCACAGAAAGAGGACAATGTCACAAACAGTGGGGACGCCCGATGATATAGCAGTAATAGGCTATTTCCCAACTTGTTGGGAAAAATGGGCATGAGGTTCGACTAGATCAAAGACAGTCAGATGGCATGAACTAAAACTGAAAACCATTGCTGACCATGAGTGACCTTGGGTGGTTAGGTAAATGGCCGGAGTCACAACGAGCAAAAGTGGAGATGGAGATAGGATAATTCAAATTGGGAGCACGTGACAAGTTTCGTTTCAAAAATGTGGTTTAATCTGAAAGTAGTAGTCCATAGCCGCACTCACAGGAGCTGGGCTCACACCAGATGTCTCTGACGTGGAGATCTCGATAGAGGGCCACCCATTTTCCGAGCCGACTCGAAACGAGAAAAGACTGGTGGGGCTGCCTTATACTTACATGCAGCCATGACTATCCTAAATAACTTATCTGAAACCATTCCTGCACTATTTGCAATGCACTGTGGATTCAAGTCGTACTCTCTTCTTCTCGGCGTAGTCTACCATTGCCGCTCGAGCCCTCCGGAAGTTGATCAATTCCTCATACGAACGCTTGAGCAAGCCCCCATAGCCACCAACTCAACCATCTCCAGAGCCTCCTGGATGGAACTTCGGCGCGTCGAATCAAATGGACTTTTTGTAGCGGCGCTGATTGAAGTCGTTCAACAGAAGGCCTGGACTCAACTTGACGTTGCGCCCATTAGATACCGGGTAGGCCAACTACCATTCTCCTGGATCTGGTCATCACCAACGAATGACACTTCGTTGAGCGGGTAATGATTAGCGCTCCACTGAGACAGCGATCACTGTGTGCTGACCTTTGATTTCATCTGCTACTGGGCCAGAAAACCCGAACCTCAAACGTGGATTCAAAACGCTCGCCGTGTAAACTTTTCAGGGATGCATATCTTCCTTGAACAAGTTAAACAGGACCAGCTTCAGTGGAGGACTCATACAGGACAATTGTCCATAAAGTTCACAAGGCTGACGCGATGTTCGTTTAGTCATATTAAACGCATGCTACCTGCAAGTTGGCGTCTTCTGTATAAGAAGTCACAATTTTTTCAAAAAGCAGACTACGGGAGACAGAAGATGGGCTGGCATGTAAAGGCGTTACTAAGAACAGCCTCTCACCGACATGTTCTTCACGGTGGAGGACACTCATCAACGCTTGCACAGGATCAACCCATTCTGCGCGTCTGGGCCCAACGAGGTCCATTCAAGCATCCTGCAGGAAACGCTGTCCCGACTGGCAAATCTTTTATACATGATAGTTTGTCAGTCGCTTGACAAAGGCAGCCTTTTCCCTGCTTGGGAGGAAGCGATTGTCACGCCAAACTCCAAAACTGCTGATCGACTATCGCCTGGCAGCACAGACCTATAAGCCTCACTAGCGTGCCGTATAAGACGATGAAACGCATTCTGAAGCAAACTATCCTGGATCACACCACTTCCAACAACTTGATATCTCCGGCTCGACACGGACTTCTCTCAAACCGTTCTCGTGTGACAAACACGCTACTGTTTATGGACAACTTAACCCAAGCCAAGGACGGAGGACTTATCGGATGCCATACTTTTTGATTGCTCAATAGAATTCGATAGGGTCCCGCACGTCCCGCTGCTCCGCATACTTGAGTCCTACGGGATTCAAGGGAAAATCGTACACTGGATCAAGGCATTCCTATCAGACAGATAATTCCGAGTGAAAGTAAGCTTGACCTACTCTTCTCCGGCGCCGGCCTCCATTGCAGTTAACGAAGGCTCCGTTCTGGGACCAGTGCTGTTTCTGATCCACGTCAACAACCTTCCAGATTTGCTTGCATGTCCATGTCTACCTTTTGCGGACGACTCGAAATTCTAGGTTTCCAAAGCCACTGCCCTCCAGACGGATAAAGACTCTGCAAAGCAGTGGTCGTTGCACTGGCACCTTCCTCTGAATGACGAAAAGTGCATCCATGTGTCATTTGAAGGAGACAGCGAATGCCTTTTTCATGTATGTTGAGAAAAAACTAGAAACCACCACGAGGATAGAAGCCAAAGGGGATTTGGGTATCTGGGTCTCCTCAAACTTGTCTTTCCTACGACAATACGAGAAATTGGCTCATGAGACATTCGCCGTTTTACGGATGATTCGGCGCAACTTCTGCGGTATTACCCGCATGAACTTCCAAATAGCCCTTGAACGCGCCAATCAGTTCCATCTTTTGCGTTAGC